AATATAATTCAAGTTAAGCCGTTAATAATATAAATTTTAAATGTAACAAATATAATGATTAACAAGACTGATAAGAGAAAATAGTAGAAAACATTCCAAAAATTTACATGTTTAAAAACCCAAACGTAATTAACTTACGATATTGAAGATATTTCTTTCTTTTTAATGAAACGACTATAATGATCGACAAGTCTGATTGCAAAAAAGTACAAAACAAAATAAAAATCGTTCAATGTTACAATGAATTAAACAGTGTAAAATTATATAGCAAACATCTTAAAAACATATATTTAGGAACGTAGTATTATTATTAAATATTTTAGTTACTTTATCACGTCAGCAATATAAAATATAATAAATTTGTTTGCAACTGCCACATAACAAAGCGGCGTTAAATTTAATATAAGCGGCGTAAGTCTTTTCTATCAGCTGTTTAGGCTAAGCCCAACACGTTGAGTTCAAGTAGCGTAAAAATTATCCGCTGGAAAAAATGGCGGAAAGTTGCCAACTGTTTGGCTGAGCGTAACTACTCAACTGTGCGTTTCTAAGACACACAGCCAACGGTTACCCAATAGCTACGACTTATGAACGCACCCAATGAAACTACCTTCTTTTTTGTATCATGCTCGATACTACGAGTACTTGGCAAAGTATCGAGTAAAATCAGCAAATAAGGTATCGAGTATTAAAGTACTCATTTTTATACCCTCAGTATCGATGCTTACTCAATATCGATAGTATCGTTCGAACCTTACCTATCAGGGTGGAATTTCGATTAAATTTATTCATTTATCCATCAACATCGTTTGATAAAGTGATAAACTTTTGTAAAATAGATTTCCCCACAAAGTTCGACAATTCATTTATAAAAATGATAAACTTATCATTTTATCCAGCTTATCACCAGTTTATTATTTTTAATGAAGGGCCCTAATATTACAACAGCCATCACCATATTACTTGAAACATCGTGGTGGCAACTTTATTTCAGTGGCATCCTTGGAAAATGGCAAAGCAAATATGATAAATGGAACTTCGAAGATAATGACAAGACAATAAATCGAAAACGTCTAGAAGCGACGAGTCGTCTTTATACGGAAAATACTTTGCGATTACTTTGAGTTTGAGAATTCATAAGGAAAAAATTTGAATTTATTGCCAAATATTAAAAAAAAAATCAAAACCAAAACAATAAATTTAAAGTCCTAATAGAGGAGAAATAATTCCGCGGAGGTGACCATAACGAATCCCCGATATAAATCTAGCAAAACGTTTCATCACTTTTGGCCACGAAATGGCGACATCGACTGCAACATATGCATCATTCCAAGACAGGATTCAAGGCTTCATTAATGGATTAGGCGACAAATAGTGAGTAATTTTTGCGCTGTGGTGAAAATTCTAGTGAGTATGTATGCAGGCCAAGGCAAAGAATTTAATAAAGAAAATACGCAGGGATTTAACCTTTGAACTTGTAAAAAAAAACGTATTAATTTGTATGTACAATTTAAATGGCTAGAAAAACTGACGCATGCTTCCATACGCACAAATCCATATATTTTACAGTATATAAACTACCAAGTTATTGGTTTCGACCCTATTGGACCACGTAAGAGGCACATATGCATGTACACATACATACATACATACATATGTGTGTTTACAACAGGTCACTAATCTAAATACTTAAACTTGTTTGTGAATTGACCACCCTACATATAACAATAATCATATATATCTCTTTATTCGTAGTGAGCCCTATGTACGTACCCATTTGGCTAAAGTATATATGGTTTTAGGAGCCGCAACGGCCAGCACAGCCGTGGGAGCTGCGCTTCACTTGTGGGGCGTTATAAACCTCGGGCTATTGGCAGCACTGGCTTCCTTGGGGCTTGTGTTGGGTCTACATTTTTATAGAGACGATGGAAAAAATTACTATACTCGTCTAAGCATGTTAATGGCGTTCGGCTTTTGTTCCGGCCAGACTCTGGGTCCGCTAATGCAATATATCATTAGCATCAATCCGTCGATAATATTAACTGCGCTCACAGGCACCGTGGTGACCTTTATCTCACTCTCATTGGGTGCATTATTGGCAGAACGTGGAAAATATCTTTATTTGGGCGGATTGTTAATTAGTGTCATTAATACCATGGCCTTATTAAGTCTTTTCAATATGTTTTTCCAGTCGTACTTTGTTCAGCAGGTAAGTTTTATCGGAAACATCATGAGTATTTATGCAAGTTTATTCAACAATTCATATTGCCTTTGATTCAGACTCAACTGTATGTAGGTGTATTTGTAATGGCTGCTTTTGTGGTCTTTGATACACAAAACATAGTGGAGAAATGTCGTGCAGGCAATCGTGATGTGGTACAACATGCTTTGGATTTGTTCTTTGATGTTTTGAGCATGTTTAGACGTTTGCTAATTATTTTAACACAAAAGGTAAGCGATTCTCAAAAATTGTTTAGTTGAATGTGTTTGTAGTCGTGGGTGTTCGTTTTTGCTCAAACGTAAACGCTTATAGGATTTGACTATGAGCAAGTCGAATTAATATAAGGTGGTAGCAGGGGCTGAATTCAAGTGTACACTGAAAATTGTGTGCACTCCTGCTTTTCAGTGTTGCCGTTTTAGCCCATTTACTTCAAAAGTGATACGTGTTTGTGCATATTTTCGGAACATACTTTATTTTTTCGCTCATTTCGCGAGATACTTAGATTTCCGCGTAGTAAAAATTTCGGTACATTACAAAGAGAAAATATATACATATGTAGGCAGTGGCAGCTTTTGAAATTTGATCGAAAATATTAAACGTTTTGGGGTCAAATAAGCTTAAACAAAAATGCTTTAAACGTACTATGTGTGATGAACTGACTGTATTCATTTTTAATTTACTTTGCTTGCCTCATACATAGCTCTGCGGCTGCAATTTTAAAATGAATCAATGTAAGAGAGAAGTAGACTTTACTGAAGGTAGTTTTATCTTTTTGACATAATTTCCGACGAGTTTAGCGTGAAATGTGTCACATATTTAATTTGATAATCAACGTAAATGATCTACAGTTAATAGTTTTAAATACATATATTTGTATTCAAGTTTCTCTCACTATATCTAAGATATTTTTCTTCATGTACATACATATGTATGTGTATGAATGTGCTTGACATGATTTTTTGGTTATTGACACTAATTAAAAACAAAGGTATGAAATCATATAGCATTTTTTTTAAGTTTTTTCTAACTTAATACTTTGATACTTGAAAAAAAAAAGATTAGTGATACATTTGATCCATTTTTTATTTTTTTTTACCAATTCGATTTGACAGTTTCTGTTTTGTTTTTGTTTTCTTCGCTGCAAAATGTAGTTTCTTCCTAAAAATTTACAAGTTTCCGTATTGAATTAGGGATATACACATATGTAAACTTTAATTATCGTACTCGGAAGAAATGGAAGTTTTGATTTGTGAGCTAGTTTCGATAAATTTCTGATAAAAATTAAAGACGAAACCGATTTGTTCGTAAAAGAAGAAATGGAAGTTTTGATTTGTGAGCTAGTTTCGATAAATTTCTGACAAAAATTAAAGACGAAACCGATTTGTTCGTAAAACTGTCAAAAAAGAAAAGTTCGATCAGAGCGAGACAGTAACACTGAAAAGTACGGGATCGCTTTCTAGCAAAAAAAATGGTAACTTCTGACAACTTCAACTACCTCCAAATTTTGGTTGTAAATTTTTGTTTTTTCTATGTACATTCGAATTCATTAGAATCCACCTACCACAATAAATTAAATACTTTAAAACATGTATTTATTTGCAGAGTGCACTTTTCTTTTGTTTGTTTTGGTTGTCAAACATACTACAGCTGATCGCTTCATACATTTACCAGAATTCACCAGCAAAAAATTCTCGGACTAAAACTGGCAACTTCTGACTGAGAGAGCACCTCACTTACTTTCTTTTTTGTGCTCTCAATAGTCAGAGAACTGATTACGGCAGTGGTCGGCATACTAACACATTCAAACGATTCAATAAGTGAAAGTGTGAGCTATGACCTGCCGACCACTGGATTACGGGATCGATTTCCAGTAAAATCTGACTAAAGGGACACTCAAACGCACTTCCAATGCCGCGTCTGTTCGAGTGTCCCTTAATTCTGACTAGTCTGGACTTATACGACTCAATAAATGCATTAAAGTCTTATTATCAAAAACAACAGAGTTTTTGTAAAAGGCTTAACTGTTTTTAACCCACTTCACAAAAAGGAGAAAGGTTATCAATTCGTCGGAATATTTTTTTTTATGTATGTTACCGCATAACTTTGGACCACGTTAACCGATTTCTATAATTCTTTTTTTTTTTTAAGGAAAGTTGTTACCTCACAGGTGGTCCCATATTAATTTGGGTTAAATCCGATCATCGGATCATGAAGAAATTAACAATAATCTTAAATTTCTATATGAGAATTGAAGTCGGTTTTGTTTTTTTGCTTAAAAATAATTTGTTGATATTCATTTTATAATGTTTTTTGCTTCTCCTGGGTATGTATCACGTCACTTGGAAACGATAATCGTTCAAACGATATCGACAAAACGACGTCGTCAAAACACGGATTTATGCATTAATGTTGCTGTTACGTGTTACTGTTACTGTTACGCAAGGCGCATTCATACAAGGTGGTGGCAATTGCATATAAGTAAAAGTCCCGTGTATTTTATTATTGCTTTCTGGTACATCGGGATGTCAAAACGAACGGGAATAGGAGATAATTTTCGTAATTTCGGTTGGTAGACACCCTAAAGTTGCGCCATTTCGTCTTGGATGACGTCCTCCTGTGCTAGTGTAGAGACAAAAACAACCAATCAGATGTTCAATCAACATCAACTTGTATTGATGCGCCTTGCTGTTACGTGAAGCAAAACTAGAATCGAGTTGACGATATCGCACAAACGTTCAACCAATTTTTGGTTTTCATGAAGCAAGACGATATCGTTCAGGAGATTGTCGTTATACGTGATTCATGCCCTATAAAATTTTAAATTTGTTGGTTAGGGCCTTTGTGAATTAAGGTAACGATATGTATGTGTGTACAACTATTTAGTCATTCCGAATTTAGTGTTCCGAATTAGTATTTTGAGCATTTTAATTTTGAGCAAATAGAAATACCATATGTGGATTCTCCGGAACTTTGACGATGCAATATTTCGTTCTTATGGCGCCTGTTACACCATCAATAGGGATTCCCATAACAGTCGGGTCTACGTAACTGGAACGACTCAGATTTATATCTGGCCAAGGACTGTCACTCCAGCATGAATCCCCAAAAACTCCTTGAGGAATCTATATGCTGCTAAAACAACTACAACATCGTGATCCATATTGATTGATCTCAAAATATTGATGGGTCGTGATTGTGTGCTAAACGTTCAATATTTAGCGCGTCAGTATTTGCATAATTTTTATGCTGAACACTTAATATGGCACAAGAAAATATTTTTATTTTGTACGAATAATTTATAGATAACGACTTCCATAAATCATTTAACATTTCCAATGTTAATTTAAATACTTTCAATTTGTCTTGGAAGAGCGAAAGCAGAATGCATAAGTTTTCGATGTTGGCACAATGAGAGTACAGGATTTACTGACGAAATGCATGGATCGCATTTTGAAAATGCTACACGCTCAATATTTATTGACAGTATTGCAATCCATGATCCGGATTTAACAAAATTTCTAATATTTTGCGATCCGTATCACGATCCATCAATATTTGATGATGCAGTATTTTTGGTGTGACAGGCGTCTGTGAATATAAATGGTTATTCTATTTATTAAAAGTAGAAAATTTTCAGCTTAAGCATCATTTGCTCTCATAAATAACTGAACCGCTAAGTTTATTACCGAGGCTTTCTTGTTAAAGGAAAAATTCAAGTCCAATGGCGTGCTACTCAATTGAAAGGTTAACGCGGAACCCGATGGTATTCAAACACATTACAATAATTTTAATTTATAAAATTATAATCATGTGTATTATGTATACAAATGGTTTTGTTTTTTTAATATTTACAGGAGGAACGTAAACGTGAAGAACGTCGTAAAAGAAATTGAATCACCTACCGAGCTTCGCGGAATTACAAAACCTGTTATTATTTTTTGTTATAAAACTTTTCGATAATATACCTTCATAACATTTAGGATCTAACTAATAATCTGAATGGTCTATTTAGCTATTTTTTTTGTTTATACTTTCACTTGCTCATTATTTCTGTGAACTTTTTAGGACTTTAAGTTGTAATCAAGAAACTATAAATAATTTATAGCAGGAAATGGGATAAGTATTTAAGTTTAGTTCGAAGAATAACAATTTCGCGTGGTCATATTTTTAATTTGAAATATATTTCAATATTCCGAGAAATATAAAATAATCGAATTTTTAATTCATATTTAAACAGACATATACAAAGGTACGTACAGATATATATTTACATGTGTTAAAAAAAAATTGGATAAGAAACAATCGAAGTTTTTTGGTATTCTTTTTGATATTAGGCGCGTTTTGACAAGTAGTGTATTTTAATTATAATAACTTTGCATAACGATATTTGGTTATTATTTATTCGAATCTTTCCTGATAGTTGTCAACGTTACATTGTTGTAGTAGCATTGCTGAATCCACTCTGCATCACGTGAGATCTTCATAAGATTGCCGAGCTTTTACCAATGCTGCCAACAATTTGGAAAACACTTCACGAGCTCCATCATAATCAAGTATAGCAACACAACTTATTGGAGCTTTTTTAAATAAGGCATATGCCAGTTGCCGCCGACGCAATGCAAATAGATAAGGAATGCTCTGCTGCTGGCATTGGCTTTTAATATTGGAAATTTTAGCGTCTAGCCCGTCTGTAAAAGAGAAAGTACAGAAAAACAAAAAGTCATAGATTCTATTAGCATTTGGTAAATTAAGGTATTGTATTTGGGGCTTCGTCTTTAGAAAATTCTAAATACAAAAAAATTGTTTAGTTTCCATAAAAGTGACCATGGATGAAGTATTTGTGTACATGCTAAATGCAACGAAATAATAATGATAGTCTGGCGCATGATAAAAAAATAACAAGGTAAAACCGTTGAGAGGCAGTCTGACGTTTGCCAACAATATCAGCCCAATCCTAAATAATATTTCCGCAATCCTACTATTTTAAATAAAAGAGTTTTGCAAAATATCTCACTTTCCGCTTTCCGTCCATCCTAAACATGCTCGAAAAGTTTCGAACATGAAAAGTAGGTATTTTAAATACAAAGAAAGTGCGGAAACTCTTCGAAATCCGTTAGAATTATTTCATCTGGAATTTTCAAGGGAGTTTGCTGCAAAAGTGTGAGTATTTTGATAAAATGGAAGAAAAAGACATACATTTTTTGTTTAAGGTCGAAAACACCAAATAAAACCCAAATGGGAATCCTTGTCAACATGATGGAGGAGAATCCTGCTATTGCCCTGAGGAATGGTACATAGCCACCAATGAAATACCGCCTGCAAATATATATACATAGTACTAATAGATTCACTGGATACAAAGTTTATTTTCCTACCATGAAATGGAAATATAGTTTTTGATCTAAAGTCCCTGAAAATATCACAAATGTTTGTGAAATATACCGAAAAGTAAAAACCAAGCATACCGGAGGCCCCGACAGCAAAAAAAAAATCTGTATTAATGTATGTTATTTACCACCCCAAAATACCTACTTAAGTTTAGCATTTAACAACTAAAAAATATTTTTTGTTAGTACTTTGGTATCTTAAATTTTTCAGTTTTTTACTTAGGGAAATACTCATTATATTTGCAAATTTAATATCCAAAAAAATACTTTAAGTATAGAAGCATTAAATGGCCGAATTGTGTATGGCGACTGATGGCTGATATACTAAAATTCGCATTACGTACGACTGTCGGCTACTGAGTCTAGTAGCGGAATTTTCTGTTTCCCGCAAACGACGATTTTGTTTTTTCACATAAATTGTTAAACACATTGGAGCAAAGTTGTCAATTACTTCGAAATGTTGATGTCAAAAAAGTAAATTCGGATGTTTTCTGCGCTTTTCTGTATACTGAGATTAACTGCTATACATAATACCAATTACGATACGGGTTGCCATGGCTACTAGACCCCAGTCGCCATACATAATAGGGCCCTAAGTTTGTCAATCATTGGCTTCTACCTTCGCCCTCGCAGATTTCGCAATCTGGTGCAATAATAATCAGTTTTACTTTGTTTACAAGTAAGTAGCTCTGCGTTTCTCGAATCCCTACAACAAAACGCCGATGTGCATGGGCTTTTATTGCATTTTGAGATAAGGCACGTTTTTGAAAGCGATCCAGTTCTCGAAGTAATTCCTCCGTTAATTCAGCTAGCATCGGTGTGGTGCAATTATCGCAATAACTGCAAGCAAACAAACAAAAACAAAGCGTTAATAAAATATGGTCGGATGTACGTTTAAAATCTATCTCGCAATAGCAGGGCCGTCGAGAGAAAACTCGGGGGCCCGGGACTAAAAAATTACGGGCCTCTATATATAATAAAGTGTATAAAATTAAAAGTATATGACCAAAATCACCGAAAACGAAACCGAGGGGAAACATTTTTTCGCAGGCTTCGCAGATTTTTGACTATATCTGGGTCATACATATTCTGAGGTATCAGAAAATATAAATATTAACACGAATCTCCTTCTCTCAAACACGAAAATTCACTTAATCCTGAGACACCTTTAAATTAATGAAAATTAAAAAAAAAAAAACATATAATTAAGGGTTGTTTATATTTGAAGTTAATAAAAAAGTATTCGACAAAATAATTACTGATTAACTTTCTTAATGAAAGTAAAGTCGGCATCATTTTTAAGGTAAAATCCAAAATATCAAAAAGTTCTTTTGCTGCGGTATCCACCAGGCTAAAAAATGGAAAAATCTGGGTTTATTAGAGCATTTTCGCCCTTCTTCACAATAAAGCAGTTCTCTATAATCTTCATTATCAATGTTTTTTCGGTGCAAAGCTATGAATTTGTAATATAAGTCATTTTTACTAATTGAATTTTCAGTTAAAATTACTTTCATGTGGCTCATTTGAAAGCAACATTCATTGTAAGCTATTAAAGTGCTATTGACCCATAATTAAAATGTATATTCTTTCTAACGCAAACAGGTTTAGAAAATAAAAATTACGTAGAAAAATTAACGCGAGAATTGTATTATCTCAAAAAAGAACGAAGCCAAAAGAAGCAAAATAAGAGAGTAAACGAAGAATAATATTTTATGATTAAATAATAAACATCTATTAGAACTATTTCAAGTATTTTTCTAGTACTATTATCCTTCAAAATGCACTCTCGAATGGTGCTATAAGATTTTTCCAGCAAGAGTTGCGGCCACTTGTGTGCTCAAATCTAACATGGCCTAACCAAGCATATATCAGTTCAATAAGTACGTAGTTCTTGAGTTATATAAGGAGAGCAGACTTTTTCGATAATATAAAGCAGCTTTAAAAAGTACTTCCAAAAATTGCAATGTAACAGTCCGCTGTAGAAACATTTATAACTCCTAAACAACAGGAGGTACAATGTAGATTAGGTCTATATTAAATAATGCCACATACTTATGCTTTCAAATGCAAGAAGAAAAACTATCCGAAAGTTTTATTCTAGCAAGTTTCAGCCGTATTTGAAAAGCACTGTGCGCCAAAACGTATTGTAACAGTACGCGTTTTGGGCCATATGATCATTTTCTTTAATTTATAGTCAGGAGCAATCAGCACGAATCAAATATATTTATAACAAAAGCCTACAACGAAGGAGCAATTACACTGTAAAAAAATAATAAGTTATGGTTCTGTTGTTGTTGTTGTTGTAGCGGCTACAACAACCCCGCCCAGATCGGTTGATATCTCAGCCGTTGTCGTCAAGTTCTACTAACGGCAGCCCTGGGTAACGTTATGGTTCTATTTCGGGTCCCTTAAGAAGCCCGGGCCTGGGGGGATTTATCCCTTTACCCGCTCCCTCTCGACGGACCTGTGCAATAGTAATCTTAAATCTGTAAGACTCAGTCTGAAATAGATCAAAGTTTAACGAATATAACTATGTGCATTTGTTTACATCTGGGTGCTACCTGCGGAATCGCCTGGAGTGCAATGTTTTTACAATCCCTTGATTATGCTTAGGAGTGATACGTTTCGTGTTATTTTTTTCATCTTTTGAATCTATAGTCAGCGCTGAAATTTTATCCGCAGTTTCTTTTAGTAACTCAGCACTTTGTTCAACACTAGATTCCCTCTGACTTTTCCGTTTTCTGCACCGGAAGATAGCTTTCTTTAGCCTAGAAAGCTTTTTCCGTTTGCCCCCTTCCCTAGTTTTACCCCTTTTCTTCCTTGCCTTATCGGTATGTCTTCCAAATTTACAGACAGCGTGGCGCTTGAGTTTTTTTGCCTTCTGTTTTTGCTTGGGTGTTTTTGTAAGAAACTGCATCAAATTAAAAGAAGCACCATGTCCTCCTTCCGCCGGGTTCTTTTTCCGAAACTTTGAATTACGGATTTTGCGGAACGGTTCAACGTTAGCCGTATTCTGTTGGTTTTGGATACACTCGAATGTTTTTCTGTCGATTATATGTAGTTTATCGGAAGTAGATTTATTCAAATTTGACATTTTTCTGAGCAGGCGCTTCCCGAATGATTGTTCCTTGATTGTTTCTAATCCCCAATAAATTTTGTAAACAACCATGTCAACTAGGGATATCGAAAAAACATCGATGCATCGAAATATCGATGTTTTGTTTCGATGCATCGAAAATTTTAGACACGATATATAAATAGACGATGTATCGATGTTTTTTTTTAAACAGACATCTCTAGTACATTGAACCGTCATTACAGTTTTTGGATTGTACAAAAAAGAGAAGTGACCTTGATCATTCTTTGGACTAAAAATTTGTTTTTTTGAGTTCCTTTACTTTTTCCTGTTATTCTCTTTTAGTGAGCGCATTTTGCTCACACTCTGGCATTTTGACACTTTTCAGATTTTAGTCCAAAAAGATAAGGAACGAACCTATTTATAAAGAAAATGCTTACCAAAAATTCTCCACCAAAATATGTGTATGGATTCATGAACCAAAAATACAAAAAAAAAAGTAGTCGTTGGTTCATGGTATGGATTTATATATACCCAAACGTGTAGTGTAATTACCTTGAAGTTGGTTGTCTACGCAAGCAAATGAAAAAGAAAAAATCAACCTTGTACGGGTTATCCTGCTCAGTATCACGATTATTTCTCACGGAATCTGGATTACTCTTACTGTGCTTGGCAGGACTAATTTTATACTATGTACTAGCACGAGGAAGGCGAAATAATATTCTCTTAAAATATTTAACATAGGCGATTTATTCGAATCAAGTTAAGAGCAACAAATGGCAGAATATCTGTTTGTGTATACATTCATTTGTCAGTGCTACCAAGCCGAGAATCAACTCAGCGGATCATAAATTGAACCAAATCTCTATCAGGATCAAAAAGTTTTTTGCCCATGTCTCGTAAATATCAATAGCTTCAGAAAAATGTAAATTACGAAACTTGTAGGAAATTAAATTTTGGAACAATAAATCGCTAACATCGACATTTCTTGAGATTTTGGGCTTTGAAGCTGAGTTAGAGTGGAATTTTCATGAATTGTTGAGCTAAATTGTTGTATATACGATGATTTAATGCTTTTTATATTTTTAAGCCAAAAACAACGAAAAATGTGAGCACATAGACGCAACAGAGAAGTAGCGAGCTGTTTTATTTTCGACGGCAATTGCGACGACAATCCCCAACCCAATTTGGCGGATAATTAGGTTATTTAAAATAAATCTAAACGCTATTTATAGAGCATAAGCAAAGTATTCAATATTTCATCCAACCCAACCAACCCGCATAAAAACATATTTTTAGTAGAGAGGGAAAATTGATTTTAATTCCGACTTTAAATGATTCCATTCCATCATTTGTTTTGGTACGATATAATCTTCAGTGATCTGCTGTTCCATATTAATCATTTTATGTTGGGCAGCCAGTCTTTTTACGAACTGTATACAATTTCGCATTCGAAGCGAATGCCATCTGCGGCGTCTACAATAACTGATTAATGCTTTTAGTTGATCCACAGTTTCCATTTGTGCCAAAGCAAAGCTAAAGACATTACGCACATTAAATTTCAAACGGGACGGAAATACTTGAGAGTCGAGTGCACGTCCACGAGGAAACACAATCAAGGTAGGCGAATTATATATTTTAAACTCCCACGGTAAATCATTAATTAAAGTATTTATACGAATAATTTGGATTCCAGACAAGTCGTCAAGCATAGTTGAAAGCTGTATTAGAGCCTGTATAGCGAGTGCTGAGTACATACATTGTGGAGAATACAACAAAGCAATTGTGGTAAAATTGTGTTGATCAACTTTTCTTATAAACATTTCATTATTTACATTTTCCAAGAAAAGTTTCCTCTGAGGCAAAGAAGGCATTGTTTTAAGGGAACTTCCCGTTTTGTATGCAACAAGTACTTTACTGTAATAACTTTGAACAAACTGTTGCAATGATTCGTATGTGAATTCATCTTGAAAGAGGAAAATACTCTCTTTCAAACGGTCAGCTATCATTAATGTTACAAAATTTTTAGTATCTACATTTGGAATTCCTTGACTTTTTAAAAAGTCCAAATGTTTTTCGTGATCCACAATAACAACGGACAATGTCTGGTTATGTCCCGATTTGAATTCATTCCAATTGTCATCAACGAACTTTTTTAAATATTTCGCAGCTGCAATTTTCATAGAGGGCGAACTGTTTCGATGTTTGCTAGTACATAGCTTATGTATGTTATTCGATGACGCCAAACCCTTTTCAAAGGTACAATTTCGTCTCAAGCCACAAATAAACTGTTTTAGATAGCTATCTAAAGCGTAGTAATACCTCAAATTCCATTGACTAAGGTATTCTTTAGCGGAGCAAGTTAACGGCTTTAAAAGTTCATTTTTCTCCATTGTATGTTGGACATATCCCAGTTCTTGAAGTTTAGCCATCTCACTTTGCCAAATGTCTGTATGACATTGCTCATCTAAAGAAATTCCATAGTTTGTTAATGTATTCATATATTCGTAGAAATAGTCATTGGCAATAACGGTCAGTACTGGTGATAAATGTAAAAGCATAGTCAAACTTTTGGGCGAGTTATAACCGTACAATACATTGAGTGAACGTGCAAACTCGGTTTGTAGCCACACAACTATATTACTCACGTTCCACTCACTAGGCGGCATTTCTACTACTCCTTTGCTCGTAATGAGCAACACTTGAGGCAAGCGTTGTTGGGTATCGTTCGCTCTATGTAAAATATCTTTTGCTGCTGGACCAATCGCGGCAGCAAAGCGGAAACTCGAAACTGGATCAGTTTCCAGCCATTTTATGCCAGCACTTACAAATTTGCGAAACTCCAATTGTGATCCATTGCCGAAAACACCGAGGACTACGGCATCTCTTTGCATAGTCAAACGTTTTAATTCAAGCCTTGAGTTCAATCTCTCAACTGGAATAAATATAAAATCAATGAAACGTTGAACAGCTTCTAAAGTCCATTCTCCGTTATACTGCAAAACAATACGATTACTATAACGAATGACTAGAGTTGGCCATTTGCTTGGGGCGCCTGAGCCTAGTGACAGAGGATATGTTTTACTACAATTGCATGCAAGATGATAGCAGTCGATAACACCGAAAAATATCCGATATTCGTAGGCTTGTGCAATGTGTTCGTACACCAGCCGAGCTGCTTGACTGTCAGTGCTCCAGGTAACATGGTAAAACAAGAACGATAGCTCATATTGTTCAGCTTGTTTCCGTATTTCATTTACATCTTTTCCCGGACACTCGGCCAACAAGGAAGACGTTATTCCTATGGCAATATATGCAAGTGTTATAAATACAAGTAAACTGTAAGCAAATATATCGTTCCCAAACATTATTTTCAATTGGTGCAAACAGCTGCAACCAGTGGTACTTAGGGATGCAAACGATGCATCGATATTTTTGAAACATCGATAATATCGGTTCAAACTCGATGTTTGCCACCGATGTTTACAATTTCTTAAGAACGCTAAATTGGCGATACATCGATGTTTTAAACATCGACTTTAGTTTGTCCCCTTTCAGACACGTCAAGTCTGCTCGTTCGTTGGCGAAGGAGGTGGGAAGAGTACAGATACCTCCGTACCGTTAATTCGTTTCAAGTTTTCTTGTCTCTTTTGATCTTTTCGTTGCTTCCCATTCAAGAACCATGGTCTTGAATTCAATTAAAGTTGACGCGGGTGGAAGCAAATAGAAAACACAAAAGAGAATGCGAAAAAAATTGCTTTCAAGACTTGATGTGTCTGAAAGAGGACTTTGACCCAGACTTGCTTTAAGCTCGCTATACAGTTCAATGCGAGCGTGAACGTGAACTTTTTATTTTGACTAATAGCTTCGCTTTTACTTCACGTTATGCAACAGTAATATATCAAAAAATAGAGTTAAAATATCTTTCAGAATTATAGAATTAAAAATAATAGGTCTTGGAACTTTAGGCGAAGCGAACTTACGGCGGTAAACATTTTTATTCTATTTATAGTAAGGATAAAGGAAGGCTAATTAAATACAGGGGACTTCATCCAAATTTTAGTATTTCTCTAATTGAATTACAGAGACTGAAAAGTATAAAATTCTTTAAATGTGAATAGAACCTAACAAATTGTGAAACATCGGAAACTATCGATGTATCGATGTTTTTCTTCGGATGTATTTTAGCATCGATGTCCATTTCTCCGATGCATCGAAACATCGATGTATCGATGTTACTCTTAAAAATTTGCATTTCAAGTGGTCAAGTGGAAACAAAGAAATAGTAGGAAACTCGAAAAAACATCGATGCTTCGAAAATATCGATGTTTTGCTTCGATGCATCGAAAATTTTCCACTCGATGTATAAATAGTCGATGTATCGATGCATCGATGTTTTTTTAAAACTGACATTTCTAGTACATTGAACCTTCATTCCAGTTTTTTAATTGTACAAAAAATAGTGGTGTCTTTGACCAAACAATTTAAATGGATCCAAAAAGTTCCGATAGAAATATAATTAGCTCAGTTGCAGTAATTTATTTCAAATTTTCTATAATTTTGCTAATAACATATATTTTTGTGAAACATTATCTGTAGAGGTCTAGTTAAAAATCGACTATCAGGCTATTCGGTTAGTCGACTAGTCGGTTAACACCTTTTTTTGTCGGTTGATAAGCGAATAGCAATTATTCGATTAACCGCTGGAATTCGACTAACCGCTCACTATCGAGTAGTCTGAAAATGAATTTTCATTTGGTCTGATGAATACATGCCCGAAGACAGGAATCTCAGTCGCGGAATAAACCTTCTTAATATTGCATACAAGGTCCTGTCTACAAAACTGTGTGAGAGACTGAAGCCGTTTAACAAATCGACATGGTGTGTGTTTGTTTGTTTTGTCAATTTTAAAGCTGCTTTTATAGCACGAAGAGGAGCTGCCTGCACGACACTATGTCCAAATTACGGATCCCCGAAAACTAATACGGCTTTGTAGAGTGACGTTGAGCACAACCTTCAGCTCCATCGAAATTGGGAAGGACCTCTCCGCGCCCTTTGAGACCAAAAGAGGTTTTAGACAAGGAGATTCACTCTCGCGCGACTTTTTCTATTTGATGCTGGAAAGCGTAATAAGAGCTGCCAATCTGAGACGGAGCTACGCTATATATAGGAAAAGAACGAACACTACCACATGCATTTTGTGTGGAGAGTGTTATGTTATTAGCAAAAACAAAATACATGTAAGGCGAAGAAATCAGCCAAGGCGAATTTATACAAGGTGGGGTTACTGGCGAATTTAGATTACAACAACGACAACCACACGTATTTTGTATGGAGGGTGTTGTGTCAAATCTCAATTCGCTCCAAAGTTTACATGTATTTTGTTTTTGCTTTTGTAAGCAAAAACAAAATACATGTAAGGCGAAGAAATCTGCCAAGTCGAATTTATACAAGGTGGTGTTACTGGCGAATTTAGATTACAACAACGACAACCACACGTAGTTTG